GTAATATGTCTTAACTATAAAAAGTATTGAAAGTTGTGAGAAAATAACGATATAAATAAAAGAACACTGAACATTAAGATGAAAAAAGAACCTAAATTACACCTGATGGAGCGACCGAAACGTACTTGGCTGTTTGCGGAAAATCTACGTTGCAGTAATTAAAACAAGTAATAGATTATTTACATGATCAAATAATTCTTCTGACCTTTCGATTCGATAGCGGTTCAAGAAGTAGTTAGTCTACTAGATATTTATAGTAGCTGTCGGCGGCATTTATTTATAAACATTGTAAGCAAATAAGTAAACTAAAACCTGTAATTGGACTAGTACCGACGTAAAATTTCAACCTAGCAAATGAGAAGAAAAACAGTGTATAAATGGCAACATGCAACCTGCAAATGCAAATTACACGTTAATTCGTATCCGATAAATAAATAGGCAATGTTTGTGTGTGTGCGTGCCACAACGGACCTTGACAACTATTCACAATTAAAACGGTGTCACCTAAATTCGTAGCTAAAACATTTTTCAGAAAAATGGAATGAATGCGCTTAATCTCCCAATTCTTAGGAAACGATTTATTTAATAATCATATGAGAATTATTTATAAAGTGGGGTTATAAGTTGCATTATTTTAATGGGCTCCTTCTTTCCATTAATAACCCCTCAGATTTTACAACTTTGAGCGAATTTATTGCCGCAGTCGTAAATGCACGTACATAAACCAACGCAAAATATGACGAGAATTATAATTGGTTTTTTAGGGTTATGTTCGAAATTATATGATTGCTAAATCTTTCTCTGTTATTTTTTTTGTTGGGTAAATTTAGAGGATATAAAGGAACGATTGAGGAATTTGTGCGGAGACGTTTTATAGCGAAATCTTGGTAGCGCAAAATATTTGATTAGTTCCAATCTTTAGGCATCCAGCTTAGATCATGCATACAGAAACCTTTAGTCGCCATAAGTTTGGAATGTGGAAAACTGAATCGGAATAGAATTTTAAAATTGTTTTCTTTTTCAATACCTCAGAATACCCTTTGCGTTATATATTTAAGTGTTTACAGTACTTGATGGTTAAAATTACAAGAGCCTTTTATAAATTTTATTTAAATTTTTAGAAAATGTGATTGATACTTAAAAAAAAATAACTAAAAAAACACTTTTCAAATGAAATAATAATGATTGCAACAAATATTTCGTGGAAAATGACGTAATTAGAAAAAGGGCTTTCTAAATATTACGGTAAAAGAACTTTTTGGAATTTTCAAAAACCACAAAAGAGTTCGATCCCCAAATGCATAATTTAAATTGAACATTTGGTCGATTGTTTGTCGGTATATGAAATGAAAACACAAAGTTGTGTCCTGAATGCATGATATCATAATTCTATTGAAAGGAAGCAGAAGGGGCTGCAAGTGAGTGCGGTTGCGGTCTGCAATCTGCAAACGTCATTTTGTTGCAGTCACCCTCTATCCCTTTTTAAAGTACCTTGTGCTAATTTTAAAGTCTTAACATCACTTTGAAATTATTTTTTATATTCTGAGGTAATTTTTCCTTATAATAAGACAAAAAAGGAATTGTAAAAAATATAAAGCACATTACCTGAGTTTAATTACTTTATAGAGATCTGAAAATAGTTCTAGATAGGCTTTGGATTTGTTTGTAAGTTTTGTGCTTATGCACTTGTAAGAACAATCTTTTTATAAAAAAAAATGTCGAATATCATTTATAAAAATATTTTTTTTAATCAAAGCAGAAAAACAGTCCCCTGACAACGATTCTCCTGATTTTAGGTCTGAACTTGGGCACTTTTACAAGTAATACATACTGGAGCAAAATTTAATTCCTTTTATCAGTCTTGATGACTTAAATGTTGAGTATCTTTCTTCCTTACGTCACTTTCCTGTACTAATTATGTTGCTTCCCGATGAAGCAACTGTTTGGAAAGTAGTTGGAGGCAGCTTAGTAAAAAAAAAAGATATATTTCTATTGTGTGTTATGTGATCCCAAATAAGGGGTATCCCGGTATCCCCTAACTAATGCCATATATTGTTATTAATATTTTTGAATCGAATTCAAAGATAGCACTGAGCGCAATCGCTTGAACGACATGGACTTCTAGTCCAATTACTTTTGAATAAATCAAGTCTAGTACCAACGATTAAAGCGGTATATTTATTCAATCGAAGTCGGTCATGCCTCACTAATGTCTACTCTACGTTTTTATGATGCAGTTCTAGAAATTTATTGCTATGTAACTACATAATTCTACGGTCGTTTCAGGTCATCTAATGTTCTCTCGCGATGTAAATAACTCCTCGCGGAATGTACAAAGTGGATACTGGATCTAAAATACAAGTTTGGTTTACATTTTCTCGTATTTAATTATGGTTGAAAAAGTCGATTCCAGCGTCGTGTTTTGCCTATTAATTATCCGATAACCATTACGAATTATCTACGGCGACAAAAAGGTAGTGAATTCTAGTTTATGGACTACTAAAGGTCTATAGGAACTATAGCGTTTTTAAATTTTTCAATACGTCCGATTCAAAATGTGTTTTTTTAATGCAACAGTAGAGTTTAAAAGGGATTTTGTACGATCTTTACAGATTTCTCAAAATTGAATTGAATTGAATTCGTAACATTCGCCTTTCTTTGTGTGCAATACATTATCAAACGAATGCCAAATTTCATTAAGCACTTCACTGGCACTCTCAAATATAAATTAAGTACAAACTTACTTATTTAGCCACATCCATAAAATAGTTAAACACGTCCGTTTCTGAACATCCATGAAATTACAATAAATACATACAAAAGTTAACGTTAAATGATTTTTCAGATGAGTTCACGAAATATGTCAAGATTAACCTTCGTATTAAGATGCTTTGACAAGTTGATAGGTATTTCCAGGCATCTTCACAATTCGATGAAAAACTGGTTCATTCAGGCTGATTTTGACGCCCCATGTATATCTCCAACTGACCAGTCGAGAGATAGATAGCTATATATGTTTTGGAACTATGATATAAATTCTTCCTGTTGGGCGCTCAGCAGGGACAAGATAGACGAAAGACGCGACTAACAAATCTAAGACTGCCTGATACACAAAGCTCAGAACAGAAAAAAAATGCCATGGTGGTCGCCAACTACCACAATATGCCCAATTGATACAAGATGTACCGTATTAGACGTCACCCGAAATAGTTTACTAAACTGCTTTTTACAAAACTTTTGGATTCCTCCTGCTTGACTGAACCGGTTTCAGTCAAGCTCTGAAGAAGCCAACAGGATGATTGGCGAAACGTCAGCAATTGCGACTAAGCAAAAACCGAGGCAGGAGGAATCCAAAAGTTTTGTAAAAAGTATTACAGTAGCCTGTGGAAGTTTATTTGAAAAATTAGCTTACTAAATTCATAAACATTATTGTTTATATTTTGTCATTCTTCTTCGTCTGTTATACTGTATGTTATAATTGTAATTTTCTGAAGAAGTTTCCACTTTTGTCCAAACAAAAACTTTGCCAGTTTAGATTATTAGAAAACTATAAGGCTCAGAAAGTACGTTAAAATGTTATGATATTTTTAAAATTGTAAATTGAATAAATAGATATACGTGAAACATCTTTTAAATTAAAAAGCCTTCTTGTAAATTGTCAATAGTTCCCTGAAACTTATAATATTATAAACTAAGTTGTAGAATTGACAATAGGTTAAAAAAAAGGGCGTAACCTACAAAACCTAACAAAAGTGTTGTGAAAATCGATCTTATTTGTGCATTACACTTCATAAATGTTAAATGTTAGTAATGCAATTAGACATTCAAATTCATGATTTTGGATGCCAAAAATGTAGTAAACCTTATGGTATTGGCACGGCTGTCCGCTTTAATTCGTGGGACGCCCCGTATAAACTAACATCCTCCAATCGGTTCGAATCATCATCGTAAACACAATACAACACATGCGAGGGATCCGCGTGCCATATGTAGCAAAAATAATCCGAAGCCATAATGGGCCTTTGCTCGTCGAACCGTCGCTAAAATAATATCAAAAACAATATCTAAAACGGTAAGAGAAAAATTTTTACGCATGACTTCGGATGGCGTTTCAGGTTACATAAAAGGACCTTAAGCCGTTGTTCTTGGATTTCGGTTTATTCGATTTTTATTTTATTGTGTTTTATGACGTGTATTTTCTTATTTTACTCTGAACGGGGGATTGAATGCCGGGATCGAATGTGGCGGAATTCTGTATCAACGGCCTCGATCAACCGGGTGGTCTAAGAGATAACCTGTGAAATTTGAAACAATCATTTATCGACTCCTTTAATAAAATCGACAATATTGGTGCAGAAAAGCAAAGAATTATACCTATTCTTAATACCATTAGAGAGTTGGTGTAGAACGGCATACATCATGAGATTACCTGGTTCTAGAGAACACTTTGAGAAAAATAACGATCAATCAAAAAGTTGTTTTATTTAGCAGACCTGTACCCTCTACGAAGTCTAGAGACTGATGCGGTCATTGGGATTCGGCTCCATAATGTTTGTTCCGTTTCATCAAGAGATACAGACGCAAAGCGTTCCATATGGTTTCATCCCCCTTACCACAGTCCCTACATTCAGATTTTTGTACAAAATTTCTCTGTTATATGTTCTTGCTGCCTTATTCATAATTCCGCAAAACGGTTCAACTCCAATCAGTGTCTTCATGGTTGATTGGCGCCAACCCATTTCAATTGATAGTAAAGTATTTAATGTGAATTTGTCTTTAGATATCGATGATCATTTTCACAATGGTTTAAGATCTATCCATTTACCAGATAGATTCGCCATTTCCATCAACATGTTACACTAACATAGATTCTGATTTTTCAAGAAAGAAATCTGTTCATTGCAAAGTATTAGTTTTCAATCAACATTCTTAAAAATTTGACAATATGATCATTTGGATAACAAACTCATAACACTCATACCTATAACACACATACTTACCACCCATGTGTCCGTTTTCGTAGGGATAGTCTCCGTTATCCATTCTTGGTTTCTTAAGTTGCTGATGCTGCAGGTGAGACGCGGCGAGACTAAGTCCCACTGGCGCCCTCTTCGGGGGTCGGCCGGGCCTGGAACTGCAAAATAGTAGAGAATTACCGTTGTTAAAAAAGGGGTGTAGCATTTATCACTAACACTTTTACATTTCTTAAAATTATAGGCGTTAAAATTGGCCCTCGTAATGTTATCGATCGCGTTTAAAAAGGAAACCTCTAAGTCTTTTAAGGAAAAAGAATGGTCGGTAATTGCCGCTCCTTAGCTCGAATGCAATTGGTATGGGGCGGTCGGTCATGGCTTAAACCGTTCATTATACTGTCCCGCAATTTGTCCGTAATATCGTGTGGCCAGTTGTATAATACTCTGGAAATAGCCAAGCCATGCGATATGCGTATGTGCGTATGTGTGTATGTGTATACTGCTTATTTAGACTGTCCTTTTTTTTTTCTACAAAAAAAGTATTTAATTATGTCGTTTGATTTATAAACTATGGTAACTTATTCATATATCCCGACCGAGATATATCAATGACTATAATATTTGGAAAAGCAATAAGAATCAATAAACCCAAAACTTTTTCAAAGCAAAACTAACTTTTTATTTCAATAGGCACGCGCGTATATATATATATATATATATATATATATATATATATATATATATATATATATATATATATATATATATATATATATATATATATATATCCGAATTAGACATTTTTAAAGACAAACAATCCTCGACTTGTTTAGTATTGTATGTATTAGCAATGTCGACATCCGGCACGAAATACTCAAGCGTCAGACATATTTTATGTAGTATATTCCATTTCTGTCAAACGAAATTTAATACAATTAAGTTCTGAAAACATTTGTTGGAATCATACCGGATGACAGATGTTGATTACTGGTACCATGCGTTCAATTTATCTTGATAACATTTTAATTGGCTGTAACTTTTTTGTTTTTAGAAATATCAAGGTAATCAAAAAAACAAAATGTGGGATTGGTAGTCAAGTTTTTCTACAAGTGACGTATAAAACAAAACACTATCAATTGTCTGACATATAAGCCTACATCCCATTTTTTCTAATGGAGCACCCTGTATATTATATATGTGCCCTGACTAAACTGACAAATAAAAATATATTTTTCTACTCCCGTCTGGAAAATACCTAATTACCCACCGATCTAGCGTGCGGGAAGCGTCACTTTACCACGTCAGTTTCGTTTCCCATGAATACGCGCTACTTCGGATATTCCCGGGACTTTACCGCACGGATTTGGGAGCAATCGGATGTTTTCGGAGATATTTCCCACTCTTTGCATTCTGACGGTCATATCAGTGAATGCATTCGTGTTGTTTTGCGAAAATGTACCCAAAAACTAACGGTCGTAGAAAAAGTATAGTATGCAACACGTTCGGTAAACTTTTTAACTCACTGGTTTATTAAAAACTCGCTCCGCTCGTATCAAATAAACTCATGAGTCAAATGCTGTTTACCGCACTTGTTGCATAATATACTATAATGTTTGACATATTAGTAAACAACATTGATGAAAGGAGTGATATACTTCAAGTATACTTTCTGAATAACAACAATCCAACCGCAACTCGTCGTCAGTATATTAGACTTTATTCAGAGCGCCGAGCTGGCAAAGAAATTTGCAGAAAACGGTAACGTATTAAATGCTAAAAAGGTATGACGGAATCAAAACTTTTTCAATGAAGAAAATAAGGCAAACATATTAGGATTCTATGAAGCACATCAGTAATAGACAAAATACGCGATATTGGTCTTTAAATAATCCTAGACCAATACACGAAATAAAAACCCAGGGGTACCAATCAATTAATTTATGGTGTGGTGTCATAGATGGGCATATTTTGGGATATTTATAGATAGGCCATAAGATAACTGCAACTGCAACTCTTAGAGCACCAAATAGAACAATATATAGAAGATTTACCCCTAAATATATCAGCGCTGATTATATGGTATATGGACGTTAAAGTCTGTTCAAACAGTGTTTCAAAACAGTATTACAGAATACTTATAAAATAATTTTTTAGGAATATTAAAAACATTCAATTTAAAAACAATCTGTGTTGTATTTCACTTTATGGATATTAATATGATTTATCCTATTTATGACAAGATGGTTCCCTCAAATATAAAGTTCTCGATTTCAACAATGGAAAACATTTCGATTTGAGTTAGATTATTTTTATCCTTTACGACATACCTATAAAATTAAACTGTGTTTAAATTAACACATTTACCTATATAAAAGTAGTCGCAAAAACGAAGGTGTTTCTCTAGTTACACCCCTATTTAAATAGTGACAACAATGTTGTCAAAATGTCAAATATTTTGTAATGTTCTACAAACCCCTCCTCACAATATTGTGCAAGTTAAAAATTTTCTTAACATGGAATGTCCCAGGGGTTGGATAGGGAACGGCGCAACTATGGATTGGCCAGCCAACAGCCCCGACTTTACTTTAATGGATTCTTTTGGGCACACATAAAAAATCACCTTGCAAGGAATTCCTTGTAATAATGTCGTGGAACTTCGGCAAAGGATTTCAGAGGCAATGAATCAGTTAAGAGACAATTCGGAAACGTTACCAAAAGTACAATTTTAATGTATAACAAATGGTTTAGTGTGTTTTGTCATTTGTGTGTGTAGTGTGTGTGTTTTAATTTGTAAATAATTATTGCTGTTGCAGTCAGTCTGGGCACTCTTTGAAATTATATAAAAATTTCCTATTTCTGCCGATTTGTCAAAAACGAGTGGACTAAAATATAATGTGTGTTACATCAATGCAATCGGATTAAGATATTCTATTAAACACATATATAATATACAAAGTGTTCCATTTACAAAAATATTATGTAGGCTTCTATGCTAGAAAATCGATAGTGTTTTGTTTTATGCTTGGCTACTAACCCTACATATTGTTTTTTTGTTTACCTTGATATCTCTAAAAACAAAAAAGGTACAGCCAATTAAAATGTTAACAAGATAAATTGAACGGACGGTATATGGAAATACACTTTACCGACATGTCGGAAGACGTGGAAGAGTATCAGTCAAATTTAGAGTTATCAGAGCTAACACAAAATAATCCCAATAACCACATTTTCATAAAACTATTTTTAATTATTTGTGGTGGAACAGTTTAATACAAATTTTCATTGAATTTCTCTTGCGGACAAATAGAAGTGGGTTAGAATTTTATAATTAATTTAACGTCTTATTAACTCATATTCACAAACGGAATATTAACAGCGAAATTGGAATCTGTTTTTGGGAATAGCTGGCAAAGCGAAATGAATTATTTCACATTTGGTTTATGGTAATACGTAAACACAAGTTTTATAGGCTATAGTAATACAAGCAATTATTATGCCAAAGTTTTAACATATTTCCAACATACACTTTAACGATTAAAGTTTTGCATACGTCGCTAATCTAGACACCGCGCCAATAAAAATAATCGAAGACCTCTGAAACATCTCGGCCGTATACGTCGCTATTTAGCCTTTTATGTCCCATAAAAACCAAATTAAATCCGATTCCTTTGAAATTTCACATGATAAGAAAAATACCCGGGGTACAGACGGCACGCCGCGGTGAACGCCTTTTAAAGCTCTTATAATGTTCGGTAATGTCTCAGCGGGCCAATTGCAATTTTAAAACAAAGAACTGAGCGTTTAGTCAAACGGAACGGGGCTTCTTTTTTCCGGTTTTAATCTCGGATTATGAATCTTTTACTCTCTTTTTTTACATCTCCTCCCCCAGGATTACCTGGTTGATGGCTCCGAGCGCGCTTTCCTGGGGGATATATTACTTTTCTCGTGTTTTTAAAGGAGTTTTAATAACTTCTTTCGGCACTAATCGAATCAAGGATTTACCTGACATTTGAGTTGCGTTAAATCTACTACACAGGGATGTATTGTATTGAAATTACAGGGAATTAAACCTGATAACAACACAAATGTCAACTGAGACATTTCTTTCCATCCACAAGAAATGCAGAAATGTTAACAAACAAGGAACTTTTTGTTACTAAACGAATAAAATTACTATAGTAACAAGTCAATTGATTGGAGAGAAAGAAAATTATGTGAAAATCAAAACGTGAGTAAATTAAACCCGTGCATGTGCAAACCAGTCAGAAACCACTTCTCTAAGAAAGAGTCGGGCATACCGGGGAGATTTTTTTCTCTCTAAATTCCTTTATATTTTTTCTGTAATTGACACTATCTTTTCGTCCACTTTTTATATTTTGTCTGGTATATTTGACAAGTGTTATGTTTTACTTATAAATCGTTTGATACTACGAACTTCTTTATCACTTTCTTGAAGACAACTTTAAGTAAGGAATGTTAACAATTTAACGCCACTCGTAATTTTTAAATACTAGTAGTTGGTTAACTACCACCAACTTCAAAAAGAAGAAAGTCAGATATATTTAAAAAACACTCGAAAAACAACAATCCCACACCTTATATTCTCTTCATGAAATTGAATGAACCAGTAGTTCCTAAAATATATTGGGACAACAGACTGTTGTTAAGTTCACAAAGAAACTTGTTCGTTTATATGAGTTGAAAAACTATTGAACCTGAAGTTGAAATAGAAACGTTTAACATAATTAACTAAGTGTCAGTTTCATTTATTCTTTCCAAAAAAAAAAACATTTTCACATAACACGTTTTGACCTAAAAATATTGTCGAGGATATAAAAAAAATTACCAGGAAAAAAAATGTAATTCATCCGATTGGTAAAATGATGTCTCCCAAAGCAGCCATAATGTCTTACACCGGTCAGCATTTATGTAAAACCCAGGCACAGACATATCCTATTGCCAAACCCACAAGATGCTCCAGCATTCTGCGCTTATGGGGACAGATTAAGGCATCTAACACGATTTTCCGCCACATCCCTCTTTCGATTTCTCAGGGGCGAGGGTTATTCGTAGAGGGGGTATCGATATGTAGGGCAACGTGCCGTCGGGTATATATAACCTCCACTAATCGATAAATTCACATGTCTTTCATTTGCAGGATCGATTTTCGCCTTACCTTTAAGAAAACAAGTTTTACCAATTTTTAAAACACCTTTTGATATTTCGCTCTCAAGCCTCAGCTGTGCAAGTGCTACACGGACAATACTTCGCTTTATACGGGCTCTTTGGTACATAGAAAGCTTTCACTGGATAATAGGTTTGATCTTCTTCAACCTATATCTACTTCTTAATATTTTCGAGATAGCTCTTTTCGATATTTTTGCTAAATATAAATTTATGTTGTTGAAGAACTGGAAAAAATTCAATTCCCCTCCAATTATATGAAAATCTCAGTGGTTCAAACTGAAGTCTGCCAAAGTATTAAAAATATAAAACTAGTAAAGGAAATTCAAATTATTTCGAACTATTTGCTATTTTGATTGTTCATGGTCAATTTTTTAATCATGAACGCACAATTAGAAATTATCGGTAAACACTATATTTCGCAAACGTTGGTTTTATTTATTTTGCATTCTGCCTTGTTACTTTTGAAAAATTCAATTTTTCGAAAGTATCTACGCTCGTATAAAAATGTTATATCTCGGTAACGGTAGGTCCTATGGGATCGCCATTGATACAGAAATGATCAGCGCCGAAAAAAAATTGGGTGCAACCAAATTTTACCAGGTACTTTTAAATTTTTTTTTTTGGTAATTTTGGCTTTCAGAAAAATATGTTTTCCTCCATTATCGTTCACCCGACCGACAAAATTCTTTAACCAGCAGGCGCGGAAGATCCAGTGTAATAACATTTATTTCAGGCATTTTTTCAATCATATCCAGGGTGATGACGTCATTGATTATTACGACGCACTGCACGGTTTACTATTTACTATTTTGGAAAAATTCTTGGACCAGGAAACGTGGAAAATCCAGGGCTATAATCTCCATTTCCGGATTTTTTTCAATTATGTACAGGGTATGTCAATTAATAGTAAAAAAATCTAAAAACCCTGAAAATTGCCATCTTCGTGGATAAATTATTAGCCGTAAATGAAAAACTATAAAACATGGGATAATTTGGTTTAAACAGTCTCGAATTTTGTCTCGAGAGAGAGAGAGAGAGAGTTTCAGGTTTCGTCTATCTTGGAATATTATAATTGTAAATCGTTATTACTTGTACAATTTTGTATATTTATCAAAGTTTGTCGTGACTTTGAAATTCGGCGATAAGTAAAAACGCTTTATACAGGGTGTGTATACAATACAATTACATCAATTTTGCGAAAGTTCCATAGTGGTCCGGAGGAGCACGATAGAAAAGCAATGCGTCCCTCTAGGATAAGTAAACGCGTAGCGACTTCGTTTTTTTTTTAAATATTAAGCTGCTTCGCGCTACGCACTTCGAACTTGCCCCGGCCAGCGACGATTTTTCGAAAGCAATCTTCTTTATTCTCCCGATCACAGTCGGTTATATTTAAGTATAATATACTTATATATAAAACAAGTGGGCGTAAAATCCGGAGATCCTGTAATAATCTTGAAAACAGTAACACTTTTCAATCACACCTGTGATCCAGTGAAAACTTTCTATCGATGTACCAAACACCCTGTATGAAGAGGTTTATTCTTAATTAACGTTCTGTGTTTGTATCAGCTCCCCGCCGAATTAGGCGCCACAAACCTACTAAATAGGAAGAAAACGACTCCGTGTAGCACTCTCGGCCCGTCTTTGCGCCTATTTCCAGGCAATCATATCTCCAAATATTTACTTTGGGTTATTATGAATGCACTCACGACCGGAAGAACACACTAAATAATAATGCGTGCAGCTCAGAACCTTAACCAGATACGCGCGACAGTGGCACCAACAAGTAAGGTGTTTCAAAATAACTCCAAAATAAATGTATACTAAATGTTCGTGTGTTGTGTTTATACCACCTCGGGAATTTTGATCAATTTTCAATAGAGGTAAATATTTAGAAATCACTTGAGAAATTCGGCTTAGTTCCAACGGTTTGAAATAAATTTGTATAAAAAATAAAAACGAAAAAATATTCGCTAGAAACTATAGTAAACTTAAATCACAAAATAACTGAAATAGCGAAATAATTCTTGCTTTGCACTCACCTAGAGATGCATCGAAATATAAAACGTAAGGATAGAATTCGAACGGCGATATCCCAGGATTAAACAGAATTATTATATTGTGGATATTTAAAAAAAAAAATACAACAGGTTGTTTTTTTTTAATTATGCTGGGTTAAATCCGTTAAATATAAGCATTCTTCGCTCTCTGCGTACCTCTACGCCTATGTCTATAGACACCATTATATTAAAACAATAAATCCTACACTGCTCATTCCAGTTATGATTAACATTACTATTGTTTACATTCGCGGCTTCTGTTATATGTATTCTTGTGTATTTCACACTCTTCCCGTTTATAACCGGACTGATATTAATATTTAAATTGGATAGCGATTGTGGTTCTGCTACTGCCGGCCATACATAAATATATTAAACCAAGTGAAATGCAAGGTATTTTATTTCTTAGTTTTTGTGCCGTTACATTTATCGGCTGTCGAATAAACAAATTACATTTCAAGCGTAATGAAACAATTCTGTTTTTCGCGGTACTTATTAAAATGTTTTTTGTGATACGAACATTTAAACGTTTCTGGGCTTAAATTGTTAAATTTGTTATTCATTTTAGCACGGAAGGAAGGCAACAACTTTCCTTCACGCTTCGTTAGATTAGACTTCAATCGATTTGTTAATGTAGTATTTAGATTTAGATATATTTACTTTTGCGATGATTGCTTAGAAAGTTCGGGTAACACTAGCAAATTCTTTTTTTTTTCAAAGCAACTTGATTGTTGATAAATCGAACTTTCTGGTTAACTGAAACTTTTTTCCAGAAAAGTACATACAGGTCACGACGAATTATTGTGAACTATACACAATATATTCAAAAAAACAAGTATATTAAAGAAGAAATTTTAAATTAAAAGGATTACAATTTTCTCTATTTTTGTATCATACAAAAAAGCAAATATTTGACGATATTTGAATTTGTAATACTTTTATGCCATTTAGGTAAACATAATGAACAATTTTAAAAACGAAATCTGAATTCACACCGAAACGTATGTGTAGGTGCAGCAAGCATAAAAGAAATTGATGTAACGTTCACCAAAATTGCAATCGGATCAATCGTGTATCGTGTTTTATATACACTCAATGAAAAACTATAAGCAGTGCGGCTGTGCAAGTTTTTCCAAAGCGGACTCATAAATCATGAGGCACTGATTATGCTGAATGTAACTTTCGAAAACACAGGAAAAAAAAGAGCCTATAATACAAAACCTTCCGAAACCGTTCAAGTTTCTTCAAACTTTACATAACGATTGCAAATGATAGAAGGGTAATAATACACAGCACTTCACATAAACCTTTTTTGTTACATTTTGTATCGGACTGTGCGGGCTTCGAGCGGAGAGCTGCACACTAGCCCCACCTATTCGCCTTATCCCTAAACACAATTCATATCTATTGGGATACTCTACAGTGGCTTTCAATAATTTTGCGGGTTAACTTATCTAGAAGCGATTAAACTTTTAATACATTGACGTTTCTCGTGTCAATTTTTTTCTGCCAATATGCTTAAAGTTACTAAATAGAAACTATTTTCTTGCTTGTAGTAAATAGGGATCTAGATCTAGAGATATAGATTCTAGGAAATTTACATCGATTGTATTCCGTTGTTATATTACTTTAAGAAACAAACTGTTATTTGAAAACTCTTCTAAATGATCTCGAAACACAACTTCATTAAAATTCAACGCTGTTTATTTTCAAATAAATCGATTAATATAAATTAAATTAATACCACACTAACACCTATTTTTGAAAAGGTTACTGAAATACAAAAAGTGTCCAAAAGGAGCAAATTTTCAAATCTGTACTGTAGCAAAATCTATATAAGTAACTTAGTAAAATTAGAGGAGCATTGCGAAAATAACCGAAAATGTACCAGAATTATATAATGAAAAAGTACAAGCATTTTGAGCAAAACTAATCCAAAAAGCGATTACTTGAAATATTAATATGAGATTAAAGCGCCGCTAAGAAAGAACAATGTTTCGCCAAGCTTGAATTCTTCTGTGGTAGATTTATTCCAGACGGAAATGCAGAATATTCCCAGGAAAGGCTGGGAAAAATCGGAGGCATTCACACACTTATTTGTTATCCCAGAACCTTTAACAAGATCTGGGCATATTTTGAGAAAATACTGCCGTAAAAATGGTACATCTAATCTGACACCTGTCGAGTTGACGAACTGTCAGTGGCCAGGTTCCAAATTCCGGTATTAATGTATTATCAGCATTAGGCCGATTTTATTAATAGATGTCTAGTCCTATTATCCTATGATATAGGCTCCGTTGGCAGTTTCATGATAGACTTTGAAAACGCAACTCTTGAGTGAATCTGATCGAAGACAATTTAACCGGTTCAAAATCTTGAGACCAAACCCAACACATAATACTATTATTACAGTTAAAATGCATCGAAATTGTGTTTAGAAAGCGCGCTCCAATGGTAACGCAATTAGTGTTAGAATCTACTCTAATAACTTATATGTATATCGGCGGAACCTCGCAAAGAGCTCGAGCAATACAAATCGAAAACGCTTCCACTTACTTTGACAGAGAAATGGAGATGATACTCTCGTTTATATTGCGGCAAAATTCGATTACAAATGGTAATTAATTTATGGCCCCTTAATGAAGGGGAAACCAGAAATATATCAATTCGCGCTCCCCATCGAGAATTATTACGGACTGATGCCGTATCGAACATTTAAAAGCTTTTTTTTTTCGTGATGGAGTTTTAATTTTTCTACGGTTTGCGTTTTGGACGATGATGCGCGGGAAGGGGGCGACACGCAAGCCAAAGCCACGTTTGCACTCTCTTTCGTGGACTGAAGTAATTATTTCGAAAATATATTAACAGCTATGGCGGGGCGTTTGTTTGTGCTTCGATAAGGAACGCACGATCTAAAATCTCGGTAGTCGGCTTAACAGCTTATGCATCGTCTATAGTTTGTTCGCTGCTGACTAACACAGCCTGCGGCTCTTATTGTTTACGGACCATGCAGTAGTAGTCTGCCTATGGACTGCAAAACGGAGCGGCATTTTTTCTGCTCGATTAGAACGACTTAAAATCGTGGTTTAACAAGAGGTTGTTTGTTTTGTTAAATCGATGATTATTCTACAACTATAATTTCGCTGAAAGTTTTATTTCAATATATGCTGGGTGCCGAGAAATTGCAACACCGACTATATGCTTAGCTGAATTAATGTCTGTCGATTGTCTGCATGAAGAATAAACAGGTTTCATTATTTTTTTAAAGAATAAGCTTAGATCTATTCAGTTTTAGGGGTATTGAACACATCAATTATTGAAAACTCCTGTAAGAAGACTTGTGAATATCATTAATTAAGTGAATTAAAATGAGTTAGGCCTAGAAGACGTTAGGAAGAGATGGAATGTTCTTTAAACAAATTGGAAACTGGATTGGCCAGGATAAGAATGTAGGACCGCTGTTAATTTGAGAAGAACCAGTGATTGCACAGAACAGCTCCTAACACTAACCCTCGCTATGGGCCGATAGATAAACGTGAGATCGTTCTTGGTTAGTATTGCTAATAACTAGACGGCAACGTCTGGCATGGTCTCAAGAACGGATTTGCTGGAATGAGCTGAATATGATCATTTTGATTAACGGGTCACGTACTTGCCTGTTCGCTCCCAATGATCGTCCACCCAAAAAAGTAACGAAAGGCACCAACTTCAATTTTGCATGGACCAAGAGACTGCGCTTACTAGCGGTATTATAGTTTATTGACTGAAACATGAATGCTCAATCACACTCATATTTTCAGCCAGACAATGCCAGACCACATCCCTCGGCAATTATCAGAAACTTCCTCCGACAAGCTAATATAACCTTTCTTCACTGGTCCACAAGGTTATCAGATTTATCTTTAAATTGGCTGAACAACTTCTACTTCATAAAGCAAGTTTATTCCGGGAGAACCTACCACCAGCAGACATCGATCTTCTGATTCACAGCACCCCATGAAGAGTTACAGAATGTCAAAACTTGAAATTTTTATGAATCCTTTCTATTATTGAAACATATTTACAGTTATAATTTGTATATCACACAGTACATTTATTTGATGATCTACAGTTTTATAAAAAAAATGTTTTTTGCTATAACATAGAAATACTTTACGCCTTGTAGATTTAATGAGTTAAAACATACTTCACTGCAGGCACACTAACAACATAATACCTATCGGCCTACCTTACATATAATTCGTGTATCTCTTACTTTTTATGAGTAAAAGAATAAAAATTCAGACATTTCAATTTGAAATGGAACAGATAAGTAGCTAGTATTGAAATTTTAATTTTTATTGGATATAGAGACAAGAATGGAACTGAAGAAGAACTTTGTAATTTGTTTAACGCAAAATTGAGAGGGCATTTATAGAAACAGGGCATGAAAAAGATCGTCTACTCCAGATCATCCAAAAACTGATAAGAACGCAATATTAAACATTTTATTGGGAGTAGAGGATAATCTCCATCCACATTACTACAGAAGCTGAACGAAGATTCGGGGCGTAAACTACAGTTTTGCGAAACTGTTATGAAAATGTGCAACTTAAAACCATTTTTTCATAGTCACTGTTTAGTGATGAAGCCAAGTTTTGTTTAAATGGTACGGTAAATAAACAGAACTGTAGATATTAGAGTACAAATAATCCCAGACGTATGGGAGAAAATCATACACAACAACCACACAAAATAAATGTTGGGCAGGGATCAGCCAGATGCTAGATAGACAGATATGGTTTTAGCAGGATAGTGATTCGCCCCCTTGTGCTGGACTAGTGCGTGAATATTTAAATATGGTATTTCCCGGACAGGGGATTGGCAGAAGGTGACCAATAAAATGGCCTTCAAGATCTGCAGATATTATTCCACTGGATTTGTCCTCTGGGGATATTTAAAACCAAAATTGTGTAGGGAAAAATCACAAAATTAATTAAGAAATAAGGCGAAGAAATGATATGGCGTAGGGTAAGCTAGGTAGGTAGATAAATTATGCGTGAAATTTGACTCAGAATTTGAAAATGGGTTTTAAAAAATGGTGTTCCGTTTATAAAGAAAAACTTGTTATCAACATCTACATTGAATCCACCCTGTATATTTTCTATATACTGCAATAAATGCGCAAAAAAAATAATCACTATATAATAAAGGCGCAATAACTAAAATAAGTTTATATTAAAAAAAAAACATTTCAGCAGTTGGCTAACAAATTTAACTTAAGAAGCAACTTTCCCGTTTCGGGATTCTCCCTCCTTACCTTTAGATGAAAAATGTTTAGCGGAATTTCGGATTAACGCAACTTCGGATAATCAAGATTGTACTGTACAGAGTGAAAGCAAGCAAAAATAAAAAAGGAAGAATACACAAGGAGTAGTAAACAAAAGGAAGCAGTAGAATTAACGTTACCTAAATACAGACATTTTATTGAAATTTGCATTGTTTTTTTATACTTATAGCAAGCAAAAATAAAAAAAGGAGGAATGCACAAGGAGTAGTAAACAAAATGAAGCAATAGAATTAGCGTTACCTAAATACAGACATTTTGATGAAATTTGCAGTGTTTTTTTATACTTATAGTATAATATATCCGATAACAAATAAACTGCTATAAAAAAATATGTAATCGACAATCTAGCTAAAGTACACAAAATCCGTAAAAAATTGTTGACATTTTTTAGTTTAAAATAGTTTCGAAAGAATATATTAATCGCCTGATAGTATAAACGAATAAAAATTGTTTAATTACAACACTTACACCGATATTCATGGAGCCCATACTAACTAATCAATTCTTAACTGTTTCGTTATTTACTCAGAAAGAAAATTATTTCAAGAAGCATTGAATTGGTAGGACCATAAAGTACTTGCTAGGGCCTATTGTAATAGAAACCTGTTGGCCTTAATCTAACCTCAATACGTGTTGTTCAACTTTTCCAGATATCTCGCCTATGCTTTGGATACAAATTTAAAAAAAAAAACAATCCTACCGCCAAACGCTATCTAGCAAAAACTATTAAACAACGGCGAATCTACCCTCCCGCGACCTCGAGGGGTCTTCTATATAGAGCCATATCTAACAAATAATAGCGTTATGCGGACCTAATCTTTTGGGGATGAAAACTACAAAGTCATGAAACACAATGACGTAAATCCAAACACGTGACCCCTCCGCGTTTTTAATTTACCACTTTTTTGCCGAACGTATAACAGTGTGGGGTGAAACGCTATAGCGCGTCTTTTTGTAATATCGCACGGTATATAGCAGCCGTTTGAATCTTTGAATTATGTGGTTTTTTCCATGATCCATTAAACACGCCGGCTTTTTATGGGTTTTTTGCGGATCGGGTTTCACTAAATATTGCGAGGAGCTTTGATTTTCGAACTTGCGTGGGGTGAGATCTCGGCCAAAAGCAGATGGATATACGCCAAAAATATAGAACGAGATAAGATAAGAGTGTATTAAGGTCGTTTCGGTGATTCTGAAATATTGCTCGAGATATTATTTTTATGCTGTTGGCTGGATGAGGGGGCTGAGATAGATACCCGATACGGGTGCCGATGATTTGTGAAAAATTGGTAAGGGTAAGTTGAAACGCTTAAGCTTTTCGTTCGATTTTCGCGAATAAGTTGGTCAGCATGTATTATCTCTAATATTTCTGCTGAATCTTTTTTTTTCGGGAAGAATTGGGAAAAATTCCTTAGTGACTTAAACGCCCGAAACCTAAAATAATTTCCAAAATTCAAAAACCGAATTATACTGGACGTGCATTTCACTAACCAGGTTAGCATCTTCAGGTTCTGCGTAATAGCATCAAGTGTTGATTCCACCAAAACAACTATCTTGGCAGAAACTCATAGTCGTTAAATAGGCTATCCAAATGTTATATGCACAACAAGACAAGACAGCGTAGTGCGCGAAGTAAATTCTCCTTCTAATTAATATTTATTCTTTATATTGTTAAACTCGCTGGAATCTTTTTAATTTTATATCGAAATTTATTTTTTCTTGTAATTTTTAGTGAGATGAGTCACGTTTGATTAAGTATGTTTAATCGTAAGATCAGGCTTGACCATTTGTGAACTTTACAATAAAGAATTTAAGTGGAACAAAAAATGTTTTTTTCAAAACTTAAAAAAAAACAATCTTTCCACACGAGTAGACTGAAGAATAGGGATCAGGGTGATAGGTATATATTTTTTTTAGTTAAGGCAGAGTTTGTTTTGTAGTTTATTTCCTTCCATTCCGTTCTTTGCTAATCAAATACTTTTAAAAAAGGAGATTTCAACAAATGGATATATTTTTTTAATTTTTGCATTTATCGTAACAGGTAATTAATATTTCAGTACAGATGCACGTGGCGGTCTCCATGTCCGTAAAGTCCTGTCGACTTACGTGCAGACTTAGAGATATCCATCTAGGATAATATACCTATTTAATTTTAATTTATTTAATAGATCATCTAATTTAAGCTTTTCTAGGCTTTTGTAAATGACAAAGTTATCACATAAGTAAAATTAAAAATAGATAAATAGATTGTAATCTAATAGCCTCATATTACTGCACAATACTGTTAATGAACTCATTCGAGTTAGAATAAAATTTGTTAGTTCATTTTAAATTTAATTAGGTTAAAATTATTGTTTTCAACTAGTGATTTTAGTGCGGGCACTTGGTGCCTTAAATATTTTGCCTTGAACAAAGGATATTGGTACCAATAGTTCTAGGTGTGATCTAGTCAACTGTAAGTTTTTCCATACACGAACCAACCAAGTCTTAAAAGTGCTAACAACTTAATGCACCTTAAGTATCTCTGAAATTTTATGTTATTAGAAAGAAAGAGTTCGTGAGTGTGATGAAGCCTGGGTTTATTTATTAAGTTAACTGCTCTATCAAAAACTTTTTATAGTTTTTAGGGTATTTAAGGTTATTTTTCCAGCATCCCTCATAACAGCAATCCCGTAACGAGTGAGCCAACGCGAAGTACAAGTATCTTAATGATTTTTTGTATCGAACCGTTTTGCAGCATACTTAGTGTTTGACAAAATAAAAATAATAAGAGTCTTTGTGAACTTCAACCAATTCAACTTTTCGTTAAAGGATCCTCCTAAGACTTTTTTATAAAGAGATGAAAAAAATTCGTTAGTGATGGTCGCAAGCCAGTTCGGTTATTTCCGGTACGTCAGTCTAACCAACTTAACCAAAACTAACACGTCACTCAGTGAATATTCGTGGTGTTTTACAAAAATATACCCAAACACTCTTTCCGCTCGTGGTTAAACTAGAATCCTACAAAATATATTTTTTGTTCACAGACCACATCAAAGCAGCCCATGACGGAGTAGTAGCGTTCTTGTACGTACAGGGTGGCCAATTAAGGGTACTCGGCGCTATCCCTTGAGCGAATTACTTTATGTTAGGTTGCTTGTGTCGCTGCTAGAGGGCGATTTGCTACATTCTTACCAATACAATTTGTTTTCTCAAAAAATTAAACGCAACCATATCATTTTTATTGCAACAAAAGACAGCAAAATAAGCTAAAAAGCTAACATATAGTCATAAAGTTTTTGACTCCTAGTCTTTAGATAAGGTTAAGTGCTCTTATTAATTATTTTCAAGTATTTTCTTCATAAGCATGTGGTTCATTTCACATTAGGTTGTTATACTTTAATATGACACCGTTTGAAGGTAATCCACAGAGTCATCCACTTTTGTACAAACTTTTTTTTTCGGCAGAAACTCCGAATAAATTGACCCTACCCAAAACCAAATAAAACATCTGCCGGCGTCCGAGATATTTTTATCCGACACGTTCGGTTTGCACCGCAGGAGTTAAAAAATATTCCAGGTGCGTGGTACGTACCCCCCAAATGACAAGTTATGATGGATATGTCTTTACGGTTTTTTGGATTATACCCCGCGCGCAATTCATAATGCTAATGCCTTTAACCGTTGTTTAAACAGTCTAATTGTTACTTTTTTAAGGGTGGCTTTCACGGGCGCCGAAAGCTCCCTTAGTACGCGCTATTCTGTGTTCCGGTTTGATTGATCGGAGCTTTGGTAAGACGATTGAGTCGTCCCCACGCAGACAATTTGCCTAATTTGCATCCTGATGCGTATTTAATCTGATTCCTTTTTGGAAATATTCAAGCGTTTGACGTTGATCAATTAGATTTTAAAAT